AAATCAGTCGTTATAGTACTTATTGATAATTAACGACCGAAAAAAAAAAAATACCGGTATAGAAAATGTGGAGAGGTTTCCAATTTTGATCGAAGTGAATCTTGATTTGGGCACAGCTGCATGTAACATGCATGTAAGAGACTGCCATTGATTGAGGCTTAGAGAGTCCCCGACGAACATTATTTTCTTCCCTTTGAACCTCCTCAAGAAATCTTGCCCATCAAATCTACATAATTAAATCTTATTTTGATCAAATTATGGAAGTTAAAGTATATCTATCTTGACGATCTATATTTATTAATATATGTTTACTTTAAATTTTTAGTCTATTCCTAATGATATTGACTTACTTGGGTAGCTCACATCCACTTGGTTTCCATCTATACTTCAAGAAGAGATTATCGGGTCTTCCATTTCCTATGCAGTCGAATTGTTTCTCGATAAAAGAACAAATCGAAACATTATACATTGGTTGTGAGCCATCGAGTATCCAACTTCCTTGAGAAAATTCGCATCCTGCATTGATGCACGACGCGAATCGGGATGATGAAATCAGTAATGTAATAAAAGTGCAAGTAAATGTTATCAAGAATCTGAGAAATTCACGTCCCATATTTTTTTTTTTTCAGACTGACAAAAAAAATAAAGGGTTTAATTTTTTGGAGGAAACTATGATATATATAAAATTAAAGGCTGGTATATATAGTGAAGTGAAACTGAATTGGTTGTTGGCTTAACAGCATTAAGTGGTGCCCCATTGGTGGATTTTTCTTAAAGGGAAAGACATTTTATTTTCCTTTTCTCATTTGTTAAGGACTCATGATTAGTGGGCTCTTTCTATTGGCCACCCCTTTGTTTTTTGCTTTCTTGCGTAAGAATTATATTCAATATTTTTTTTCCTAATCGACTGTCTACCCCAGCTGCACCTACCTCGCCCAAACTCTCTCGTCATCGCGCGAGTTCACGTGCAGAACACCGCGTCCCCCGCCGAGCTGCGCGCCTACCGACCTACACGCCGAGCTGACCTACACACCGACCTGCCGCCTTGCCGTGCCGTTGGCAGCCCCCTGTTCCGACCTACCGCATGATGCCGACCTGCCGCGTAACGCCGAGCTTCCACCATGCCTAGCTGACCCGCGAGCCACCATGCCGAGCTGGCCCGCGAGCCACCATGCTGCGCGACAACCATGCCGACCAGCCGAGCATTGGTGCACCGCGGAGGCGGACCAACCATAGCCGAACTAACCACCACGCCAACCTGCCGAGCTACCGTGATGCGGCACGCCTAGCTGCCGAGCTCGCGCTGTCCGTGTGGCCGAGTTGCCCATGTTGACGAGCTCGCGTGGGTGCCGGGCTGCCATAGGGACGCCGACCACCCCTTGACGCCGAGCTCCTGTGACCTACGCCGAACCGAGGTGAGTGTCGAGCTGAGGTTCTAGGATGGGGATGCCGACCTGCCGGACACGCGCACCAAACGCCGTCCTGCCGAGCTGGTGAGGTGCGACATATACGGTGGGAACTTGAAAATTTAAACTTCCTATACATTTCTTATCATCAAATATTGACTTTTTGGAACTTAGATTATTCATTTCATCAATTTAACATGTATAATTCTATCTCCATGCAAACAGACACACTACATTGGTGCTTGAATCATTGCACCACAATATGATCAGTTTGCTTAATTTTTCAAGGACCTTAAACTGTATCCTTAGCTTAATTTGCACTATATATATGTAGTTCATGAATTCAGAAATTACCTGCATATATATGATGTCTCATATTGAATGCCAAGTACCCTAGCTCCATCCAAATAACATATCATCTGTTCATTCAACATGCTAGTAATAATTTAGAATCCATCATTAATATCTTCAGTCGATTATTTATTACTGTCAACATTAAACATCAGTGGTCCCGAGCCGAGGCAGGTGGATAAATGTTCAAAAGCCAGAGATCGGACTAATCAACTTGCTCGGTAACCCGAGCAAGTCCTCGCCTCGCCGAGCTACGATCATAATCGAGCTGCTAGCTTTGGCCGAGCACAGTAACTTAGGTTCTCCACCTTCATAAGTCTTCTCCTGGCCGATCTGATGACGCACATGGCGGACCGAGCCATTAATACGACGGGTCGAGCTATCTATTGAGACGAGCTACCACTACACTAAGCTCTCCCTGCTCCTAAGCCTGCTGTTGACCGAACTATTAAGTTAGCCGAGCTACAAGTATAAACGGACCACGCTCGCAACCCAGCTACTAGTCTAGCCGAACTATCCCTTAAGTCAAGCTACAATTAGCCGACCAATGACCATAGCCGAGTTGTTATCCCATCCAAACCATTGATAGTCGCGCTATCTCATAGCCGTGCTGTTAGTCTGGACGAGCTACCATCTCAACCGAGCTACTGACATCTTCATAGAGCCGAGCTATTAATGGTCTCATCAGTCTAGCCGGTTATCTTGCCCGGTTCCATAAACTATTCCCATGTGCTACATCAACATGGAATTGGGAATTGCGGTTCAGCTTGGAGTAGCTTCATCTTACAATTAGTGGGCCGATAGATAGGACCATTGTGGATCGTAATACTAGTGAACCAATTTCCATCACGGCCCAAATAACGCCACCTCCAATTTTTTTAAAGAGGTCATAATGATAACGTGGGCTCACTTGTCTTGTGTAAATGATATGTTATCAACAGCTTTCATCTTCGCGAGTGTTTAGGCAATAGGCACCGATCTGGGCCATCTAGCGAGCCGGAATTTAGAGAAATGGGCTACTTATTAGGCCTATCAGAATGAAATTCTCGGTCACGAATGATTTATGGCCCATAAGTTGCTCTAGAAATTAATTTCCAAATTTTGCAGCCCATATGTGACAAAGATAATTAAAAATTAAGAATCATAACTGAAATTAAGAATTAAGAACGTTATCAATAAAATTACCTACATATGATGACAAAAGAAAAATAATCAAAATATGATATATTGTGCATTTAAATTGCACCGTACGGAATAAGTTAATCAAACAAAATATTGAGTTTTTCAACTGAAATTATAAAATTGAAATATTCGTAGCAGTGTATACTAGTACAACGCCCGTGTATTACACGGGTGCTTGTTAATTTTTTCTTAAAATCTAAAATTAATGAGAAAAAATAATTGAAAATTTAAATACCTTTTATAAAAATATATATTATTATATATTTAGTATGACACTTTTTTTATTTGTACGACTTACTTGTGTTATATTATAATAATTTTTTAACTTACAACATATAACTACATTAAACATAAATATATCAATTGAGAAATAATGTTATTTTTCTAATGAATTTTAATAAATATTATTATTTTCTATTATTATAAACATAAATATATTTTGACTTTTCGTCTGAATTTGACTTTTTATTTTTTGTATATGTCTATGATATACTCTCGAAATTATTTGCATAATATATAATTTCAAAACTCTGAACTTTGATGTAAAATGAAACCAAGTAATGAGTCTCCAAAACATATATCTAACTATTTTTTTTTTTTTTTTGGGTCTTCTTTTATTAATTTGACTTTAATACGACAAAATAAGTTGAAGAAAAGATATTTCCAGGAAAAATAATTGAAAAAGACAATTGAAAATGACCCAAATCTGCACCTAATTGAAAATGTCAATTGCCTTTTTAACCAAATACAATTCATTTTTTTTTGTAAAAAAATAATAATAATAATAATTACAATTCCTAGCATATATCGATTATTTTGTAACACAATAAATTCTAAACACGTTTGTTTTGTTGAATATTCAACGTACTTTATAAGCTTAACATCGTTTTTTTTTTTTTGGTACAAGGATTTTCCAATTTCCGGAACTACAGGAGAACCGACTAATCTGGAATCAAGCCGGGTAGGACCACAAGGGCGGCAAAGCTCTCCCTCAAGAATTTTTAACACTGGTGCATTTCCATGGCTCGAACACGATACCACTGGTTAAGCTGGAAGAGACTCAAGCCATTTAATCCAAACGTTCTTGGATAGCTTAACATCGTTTTTAAAATCCAATATAGACCAAATTTAACCATATTTATATTCGAAAACAAAGAATAACATTTAGCCGCTGGTACATGAGATAACAATAAATAGAAAACAAAAATGCTATTAATTAATAGGTAGAGATGTTTCTTGAGAATTGTAAACAAGCTGAACTTTCGTGGACAAAGACTCGTTCGGGCACAACAAAAAAATGGCATGAATTAAATATTTCAAAAATTCAATAAACAATTATTTAATTATATAGGAAAATCAATATTATCTTGCATGGATCATAAAGATATTGTTAGATATATATACAAGCATAACCAATATTAATTAACCAACTGAAGTGATGAGGAGGAAGAGAACGACCACCTCAACTTTCATATCTCTTAATTTTTTGATGTTGAAGTTACGATGTGAAAATAAAAAATAAAATCGAAGAGCGCTTGGATGAGATGGCTTGGGTCTCTTCCAGCTTAACCAGTGGTCTCGTGTTCGAGCTCTGGGAATGCAGCAGTGTTAAAACTTTTGAGGGAGAGCTTTGCCGCCCTTGTGGTCCTACCCAGCTCGATTCCGGATTAGTCGGTTCCCCTGTGGAGCCGGAAACCGGAAGTTCCCTGTACCAAAAAAAATAAAAAATAAAAAAATAAAAAAAAAAATCAAAATACATCCGCCTATTCTTTAAAACTATAACTCCTTTCGTACTTTTTGTGTCATCTTCACCATGATCAATGCACGAGCTATAGAGGAGAAAAGGGAAAATATTAACATCAACTACCAAAATTAGACAACATAGGCCATTAATAAACACCTTTGGACCACTACAATTATGTTTAGGTCTTTAACCCCATGTTGCCATCCAATAATTTATTTTACTAGCACGCCACTTGCGCGTTGCGCGGCCTGATGTTACAACATGACGTGTAATGAATTATTATTTGAATAAATAATTAAGAATATTCAGAAAATATATATGTAGAGAGATAATAAAAGGTAGAATGACAATTTTATTCATTATATTTTAAAATATTTTTCTAAATATAATATCATTAGTGGATGAACTGTATTCATTATATGTTAAAATGTTTTTCTATCTATTCAATTAACTTATATCAATTACGTATCACATAGACTTTACTTTGTTTAGATTACATAAATAATTAAGTTCATTAATTAATAAAATATCTAATATAATTGTAGCCTGTAGGCAATATGTTGCCTTTAGTTAAATTATTCCTAACATTAGAGTTGTAGGAGAATTAGCAAAACAATCAGACAAAATTCATGTATATTCTTGAGATATCTATATATATATATATTTTTTTTTTTTACTATAAAATCATGAACTTCAAAATATCAGTATATAACTAACTATTAAGAACTCGAGACGAAACAAAATAGTGCATGGCCCATTTAAAATAGACCATAATAATTCACCATGCAATAGTACACACGTAAATGCATGAATCCAAAATCATCGTCAATATTCATTAATAATCCACCGACAATCAATAATATTTTTTTTTTTCCCTAATAGGAATAATATTTTTAATTTTTATATTTATTCAAAGTGTTATAATGTATGGAACTATATTGAATAACTGATTAAATCAACTAGTTGAATCTACATGTGTGCAATATCTTATCATAACTCCAATTATATATGATAATTAAGTGATGAATTACATAAATTTTTAGTTGTATTGATCCATAACTATTTCACTTGATTTACCTTCAGACAAGTAGAAATTGAAACAACAACTTTATATAGGCCTAATTGAAATATTGTTTTTATATTTGTTCTATAAGTTATATAATGTATGGAACTATATTGAATTATATTGATCTAGCATGTATTATGAAGGAATTATAAAATCGAAGCAAACCATTTTCATCAAGATGCATTAACTCTAATAACTCACTTAGATGAAAGAGGAAACTTACAAGAGTATTTATATCTACAAGTTAAACCCTAGCTAACAAAATAAAAGAGAAAAGCATGCTTTTACTACAAACTTAACTAAAGCATTAATAAATTAAAACAATATTTATTGTTTTCTTTAAAAAAAAGAAAATTGAAATTAATTCCTATCAAGAAAAATCCTCCTATTTTTAATAGTCCAAGTTGTATGGCAATTGGCAAAACTCATTTTCTTGACCAAGACTTTAATTGAAAATTTATTACTAACATGGGACCACTGCACTGTTTAAGCTAGCATTCTGCAAATTTGTAATTTGTTATTTATAATTATATATAACTTTGTATTGACAGCTTTCTCAATTATTGATTAGGATGTTTTATTTTATCATTTTTTCTTTTCACTGGCTGCTATGGACCTATGACCATGTGGATAATTTTTGTAAAAAATATATGAAATATACACACATAAAATACGAGATATATATATATATATTTATATATATACCATGTACACATTATATGATAGATTTAATCAAAAAACAATCAAAGTATTTGTGAAATATTTCTAGGATATTCCTAGAAAAATTTGAAATAATTTGTGAATGGTTTAAGAAAATATTGATAATAAATTTAAATAACATAATATTTTTAAAATAGTATTATATAAAATAAGAATAATATAATTTTTTATTTACTGGAAAAATATATATGTATTCAATATTTTTTATTAATACATATTATAATTTATAATTAATTAATATTTTTTCAATCGAATATAAAATAATTAGAGGTCTAATTTATAAATTTGTTAAAATATGTAGGTAGTATTGAAAATTGTAAATTTGATTCAAAAAAAGAAAAATAGAGAATATTCTTTCGGGTTTGAGAATAAATTTTTGGTTGGAGATAAATTACTGTTTGATGTAATAGTTACTGCAAAATGAGTATGAGAAAGAATTTTTCGGTTGGAGATAGTCTAAATTAAAAATTTGGAAAAAAAATATGTATTTATATATAAAGATAAATGGTCTTGTTTGGCAATCAGCGGATAGCGGATTATATTAGTTGATTTGACCAGCGGACTGCATTAGCAGTTTTTAAATAAGTGTTTGGTAAATAGCTGAAAGCTTATAGTTGTTTGACATTGCAAAATGACCAATAAGAATATTTTATTATTTAGGGTGTATTCCTTTAATAATAATATATTAAAACATTTAATATTCTTTAGTTGGTAATTTATAATTATATTATTTTTTTAAAAAAAAATTTACTAACAGTTGATGAAGAAGTTATGAATTTTATATTTTTCTAGATAAATTAATCATATGAATGACATATTATTATTTATTAGCACTGTAAACCAATGTAGATTGTAAAATAATAATACAAATTAAAAAATTCCAAATAAATAATTTTTTTGTGAATCCTCTATCCTCAAAAAGCTGCTCTAATGAGCTTTTTCTAAATTAAAATTTTGGGCCAAAAAAATTTATCACATAAGTTATTTACCAAACAGGCTCAATAGCGGACTTCACGGGTCAAACCTCTCAATTAAGTCCAATTCGCTAATTTATTTTCAGTTCGTTATCTACCAAACGGGCCATAAGTTTTAATATTTCATAATTTTCTTTTCATTTAAATATATCATTTAATGCGTCAATTTGACAACCTGTCTACTGAAATTTCGTCTTTGTTCATGGAGAAACCCAATTATTAAATCTAATAAAAATATACTAGTACAAAGCCCGGGCGATGCACGGAGTGCACAATTTTAAAATTATTTATCAATTCTTATAATTATATAAATGAATAAAAAAATGTACGGGATATATATAGTATGTGACCTATAATAGACCAAAATGTGAACACGGGTGATGCACGGGGTGCACAATTTTAAGGTCATTTATTAGTGCATACCCCGTGCGATGCACGTGATACATATAATAAATCAATTATTTCTATATGACTTATACGTCTAGACAAAAAAACAATAGGCTTGGATTATTCATATTTCACATCTTTTAATAAGTGGCGTTTATGTACGCCAAAAAATTAACATGTTAATTAATATATAATTCCGCTAACACGTCATACTAATATTTATTTGATTTTAGAATACATATTTATTCATTGATATTGGAAAAATAAAAATTTTATTAATTATTGTTCACCATATAATACTCAATTATTATTTTATTATAAAATTTACAGTCATATAATGTAATTATTATTATTTATAAAAGTTATAGAAGTAGTCTTCTTTATGTAATGAAATTCAAAATAAATTTTTGAGTATAAATGTTAACAAAATACACACACATGTTTTTTAGAATTCAATTTGTCCATAACAATTCTTTTTTTTAAAAAAAATGTTTTAGCTATTGCCAAAAAATAAATCTCTTACATAATCAAGAGATTTTTTTCTAATATTCATCCTAAGGGTTTATAGTTTGTTTAACATACTAAGCAATAGAAAAATATTTTACAATAAGTTCATTTTTGAAACATAACAAAAAAAAGTGATAAAAACATTATCATAGTTGACAATAATATACAAATAAATAACATGTCGAAATTTTAAAGAATAATTATAATATTTTATCTAACCATCAATAAAATCATGTAATGATGTGATCATTATCTTTTAAATAATAAATAACATTAATTTTTTAAAAAAACATTAGTGTTATATAATTAAATAAAGATTAAAAAATATTACTCGACAAATATTAATTATAATGGATATCAGTAAAATCATTGCATAAATTATTTAAGGAAAAAATATTGAAGATCATATTTGGATAGTAAATGTAAATATGCAAGCATTTAATGCATATAGTAAAAAATTTTCAAATAAAATATGCATTAAATGTGTGTTGACTTTTCTTGCTACTGTTTTTGGTAAATAGGTTGGCTTTTAATATATATATATATATATAAATTTTAAATAAAGTATGCATTAAATAGGTTGGCTTTTATCATATGACACTTAAAATTAAAAAATATGAATACATATTAAAAAAATGCAATTATTTACTGCTCATATATAGAGTCATAGTTCATGCAAACTCAACAATTTTATTGCAGTATGGTTTTGAGTACCATATATTGGTCAAAAATAGTAAAATCATGACAACATCCGGGTGTCATATCCCCGGCAAGCCCTAGCTTAGACCTTTGATCTCCTTTATTGTACCAAAAAAAATAGTAAAATCACGTTTATGCAAAGCATGAATAATTTTTAATGGCTAACCTGCCACTATTTTTTTTGTTCTTTTTTTTTTAATTTTATTATACACATTAAGAAATTCTCAATCTACCAAGTCACATACTTCCTCCTATTTTTTTAAATGTCATTATAGCTTTATCAACTATTTGCTAAATAATTGTCGTTTTGGATTTTTTGTACATATTTTTCCATTATTACCCTCATTTAACTAATAAATACATCACGTCTTTTCATAATCACTCTCCATCTTTTTTTTTCAAAACATTCATCTCTAATTCATTAAATAAGGTTATTATTGACAAAAAAAATATTCTTAATAAATGTGTAACATTCCAAAACGACATCTATTTAAAATAGGAGGTAGTATCAATTATCATCAATTATTGAAATTTATCTTGTACTAAAAACCCGATTTGAATCCACTGCCCGGTCAACGGGCCCATACAAAACGGTCCATAACTGTAATATCTGCAAAACCGTGTCCTTTCGGGTAAATTTGAAAAAAATCCAACAAAACAAAAACAGTTTGTCGTCAAAAACACATCTCTCCTCCTCAGTCCTCACAAAACCGCTGAAAATGGAAAAGTAAAAGCTCTGCAGTCTGCACACAATAATAATAATAAAACAATCTGTCTGGATTACGTCGACGCTAAAACCAACCAACCAACCAACCCTTTTCATCTGAACTTTATTTAATAAGCTTTTAGGCCATTTTTCATTTGACCCCTTCAAACTGAAATCTTTCAAAAACCCTCAATGTTTGTAATTGTACCCTTTCCACTTCCCAATTGCCATTGATTCTTATTAACATTCTTATTTCTCTCCTTTTCAGTGGCTTTGTTGTCCCTATTGCTATTTGTTATCTGGTTTATGTAGTTTTTGTGCTGTGTGATAAAAGTTCACCCTTTTCAATGGAGTTGTTTCTTGATAGACGGGCCTCAAGCAGTGCAAATTTGGCCAAAAGATTAATTTTTGCAAGTGTTTGTGCAGTTTTGCTTTGTACATCTGCCTCTCAACTTCTGCCTGCAGATGAAGGTACAGACTTTTTTTTTGTGTGTGTGTGTGTATGTGAGAGAGAGAGAGAGAGAGAGAGAGAGAGAGAGAGAGAGAGAGAGAGAGAGAGAGAAAATTGAGCAAGAGCCAAGAGTTTGATTCTGGGTTATCTACTGATGATTTTAGCTTTTGTTCTTTTACTCTCTACTTATGATTTAGGGAAGGATTCATGATTATAGTGCAGTGGTTCATATGATTTTGTGGTCATTTGCCTTCTTTATAACTCTTTTCTTCTCCTGTTCCCCATATATTCTTAGTTTATTACTCTATTGATTTGTACATGTAATTGTGGTGTTTTCTCATTTTTTTTCTTTTTCTTTTTTTTTTT